CGCCCCGGGGAGCCTCCACCGCCCCGTATGTAAAAGAGCTGCCCCGAGGGACGAGCGAGGAGTGGCGGCCGTGGAATGGTCACCGGGGGTGTGGCGAGGGAGGCGTGAATGGAATCAAATCGAGAGGAGAGAATTAAATACACTAAAGGAGCCGCGCCGAGTCACCGAAAGAGCTGCCCCGAGGGACCCGCTGTCGGGTGTCGTCAAAGGGCTGCACCGAGGGCAGAGCGAGGTGGGAATAGAATTAAATGCAGAAAATAAAAGAAAGAGAATATAAAGGAGGTCCTGCTGCCCCGTATCGAGAAGAGCCGCACCGAGGGACCGGCGGGGCGGCACCGGGCAGGCCGGACGATATTCGGTGTCCCCGAAAAAGCCATCCTCTAAAGAACCCCGTGGCAGCCCCTGACTGGACTGGAACAGCGGGCGCGACCCGGCCCGACCCCTCCACCCGCGCCAGGAGCGGCGATGGGGGAACGGTGGGAGAGGGGGGAAAAGGGAGTGGGAGAGCAGGAAGAAGGGTGCCATGGGGGTCCCTCGGTGTCCCCCATCACTGGAGCCCTGCAGCGGTTCCCTGGGGCTCAGGGTGGGAGGGGGGGGCGGATCCGCACTGGGGGGTGTCCCCAAACCCCCTGTCCATCCCCGGGGGGCTGATGGGGGGGTTCCCCCCAGCCAAGAGTCGGTGCTGCGGCGGCCGTGGGGCAGAGGGGGGTGGGAAAGGGGGGTCCAGGTTGGCTCCCTGACCTCCCAAACTGCTGTGGGGGGCTGGGGGATAATGGGGGTGGGAACGGGGCACCCCCTGACCCGTGTCCTGCACACACAGGGGTGTTCCAGTGGATGAGAAGGACCGAGTGTTACTTCATCAACGGCACCGAGCGGGTGAGGTACGTGGAGAGGTACATCTACCACCGGCAGCAGTACGTGCACTTCGACAGCGATGTGGGGGTCTTTGTGGGGGACACCCCGTATGGGGAGATCCAGGCCAGGTGCTGGAACAGCCAACAGGAATATCTGGAGGACAGAGAGGCTGTGGTGGACTGGTTCTGCCGGAAAAGCTACGAGGTGTTCACCCCGTTCACTGTGAACCGCAGAGGTGATCGCGGGGCAGAGCGGGTGCCCTCGGGAATTCCCCTGCCCCGGGAACGACCCTGGAGCCCCTTAAACCCTCCCTGGGAATCACCCCAGATCCCTCAGCCCTCCCTGTGCCCAATCCTGTCGTCTTTTTCCCCATCCCAGTGCCCCCAGTCCATCACAGTCTCTCCCAGTGCCCCCCCCACCCCGCGCATCTCCGCCCCGCTAGTGCCACCGCTCTCCCTGCCCTCAGCCAATCAGAGCGAGTCTTTTTGATGACTCATCAGTTGCTGGGCAGATCCGCAGCGCAGAGTTCCCTTTTCAGGACTCAGCCTCCCAGTCTCGCTCAGGTCCTTCCCAGTCCACCCCAGTCCCTTCCAGTCATTCCCAGTCCCTCTCACTCCCCTCCCAGACGCTCTGACTCCATTCCAAGCCATTCTCAGTTCACTCTCACGCCTCCCAACTCTCTCCCAGTGACCCCCCCCAGCCCATCCCATTCTACCCTCGTCCATTCCCAGTCCCTCCCAGTGACATCCCAGTCCTTCCTAGTGCCATCCAAACGCCTACCAAAGTCCTACAAGCCCTCTGCCCTCTCTCCCAGTACCCCCCAGCTCAGACCAGTGTATCCCCCGTCTCTCCCAGTGCCTCCCAGCGTGTCTATCTCGCTGGTGCCGTCGAGCTCCCAGCCCGGCCCCAGCCCCTGCTCTGCTCCGTGATGGATTTCTACCCTGCCCGGTGCAGGTGAGGTGGTTCCAGGATGGGCAGGAGCTGCCGGAGCACGTGGTGGCCACCGACGTGGTCCCCAACGGGGACTGGACCTACCAGGTGCTGGTGAT